TATACATTGTCGCATTTACAATATTAGTAGGATATTCTGTTGCTAAACTGATGTGACTTTATCATTCTTAAATAATAAGTTGTTTATTAACTGCTTCATTGTGCTAGTGGTAGCGAATGTTAATACCGAATTGCTAACCCTTTCCAGCCGTAGTTTGATCTGGTATTTAAGGTCCCCTGTAAGGAATGAGCGATAGGCTATAGTAACGCATACATGCGTTATTACTGAAGTTATTCTAAAACAGAACATAACCCTGCAATATTATTGTCCAACCAGAGGATCAAAACTACGACATGTTCGATAATCACGCTTCCAGCCAACAAAAACTAAAGGCAACAAAACTAATCTGTTAAATATGTTTTGTATTAATACAACACATTGTTCCTTTAATAGAAACTCAAATAATACAGTAAAACGTAAATATTCATTTCATTATAACATTTATTTATCGTTAAAAGCTTGCCTTTATCGTTTTAACTTTGATTCCTTTGATAAATTCCTAATTGGATTTACTTGTTCGTAAAAATATGGAAAATCTTTTTATATTTAGTAAGTTACGTTAGCGGGATAAGCAGAATTGGAAGCACTTAAGAGCTATAGTATACCAATATAGCGCTCGGTTTTTTAGTGTTGTTAACCTATTGCTAGAGTTTTCAAAGGCAACGGTTTTTTCTTTAAAAAAAAATAAACTCTTGTATTATCACAAAGTCTGTGACCTATGGCAATAGGTTTACATCTTCAACACAAACGTCACTCAAAACAATGAAATAAACTGACAAAAATGATATTAACTAAAAATCGCGGGTTAGTCACCCATACTTAGAAAAGCTCTACTAGTTTTTAACCACAGAGGGGTTCTTCCTCATGAGCAGTGTGCGCGGTCGTGGCGATGTCGAGCTCGGCGTTAGCAGGCTGTGGTTCGAAACTAGTAGAACTTTTCTCAATATATTCATGATTTTCAGTTAATTTTGTATACTAAACTAATTGTCTCACGATAGTAATTATAAAAAAAAAAATTACCTTATCCTACACCTTTAGGAATAACCTATAAGAAGTAAGATAATAAATAGATATAAGTATAAGAAGAACATACACAGTTGTACAACAATGTTGTCCCTTCCTCCGAAGGTCACGCGAGGTTAACAGTTGATTTGCCCTAATCAGTTTGAAAACAAACGGGACGTAACTGAGAGGTATGTATCTCAGTTTAAAACCCACGAGGGACAAGCTGGTTGTAATAATCTAAGGTTGCTGTAACTGTGGCTTTAACGCTTCGTACAGAACGTGCAGTCTGTCAACCTTCAGGATTTCTGTAATGTTTTTGTCCAACAATGCAAAAACATTTTATTTATAATTCTAATCGTTAATATCAACAGCCCACTGCTGAATCATGGGTTTCTTCTACATAAGAAGATTAACAGTTTAAAAGGTTCAGGTTTAACAAAGAGCGCTGCTGCTCGGTCAAATATTTTGTCATTTAGTATTTCATAAGATAATTGCGGGTACATTTGGGGTGTAGACAAATTATACTCTACTTTGCTATCACAACATAAATGATCTATGTTTGTACATAAATGTTTACAAAACGATACCCAGTTCGACCCAGTAGCGATCTACACATAGCTTTACTATTCACTCGCGTGGCAAAGCTTACCCTTCCCCCTAAATAGAATTGAAAGACGAATGTCTTTTTGTGATTGCATCAGAGTTCGTTTCTCTTGTAGTGACTGACATTTTGATGTTACTTTCGACTGAAATATAACAATGGTTCTTTCGGTAAAAAAAATCTTCAATAATGTCAAATTCGGCATTTGTTATAATTAATCTACATACACGTCAAAATATGTAAATCTGTCCATCAACCAGTTTGTCAATGAACCTGTAGGTAAAGGTATAATTATATCAAAGAAAGTGCACTTACACCTACAAAGCATAGTTAAAATTAGATATAATATGCTTTCTAATTCGTACCCAAATAGCTCAAATATTATTATAGATAAAATATTATAATATAGACACAATGGATGACTTCATACTGGTAGCTAACAATTCCAAATTCGTACAAAATTTGAAAAATATCAGGCTATTAGAGAGTTGTATAGATGACTTTTAAAACGACCTAATATATAATATTATACAAAAATGGTATGTTACAAATATGACCATCAGAAAAGAAAATCGCTACTTAGTTGCTAAGAGCTAGCCTCTTAGCTACTAAGCAGCGATTTTGTTTACGTAGAATGACTGAAACAAATGACTGTTTATTGTTAATGAAGCTAGCGAAAGATTTGTGTTTTTGTCCCACTCTAATAGATTATCATTTGTTTATTGTCTGGTAGGGATAACAACATGTTTATTATACCAATATGTTCAAGAATGGTTGAAGCATTTCTTTATTGTAATAATCACTCTCACTCACTATCCCCAGGCAACGGAGAGAAATAAGTCTTAAACCATATTAAGCAATTTTATAACTTAAACTAGGCATGTTTTACAAATAGTTACGCTTAAACTGCTAAACTTATTCAGATGTAAATGATGACTTTATAAAATATAAAATTCAACCACGGATCAAACGTGAACCCATCTATTATAACAAAACATAATTTCAACCATTAAACTATGGCAACCATGCTTAACTCAGTGCTCAGCACTAGGGATGATGAAAAGTAAAAGTCTAATAAGTCCGTCAGTTAAGTTTAAGTGTGGGAGAGCCATGCTTCGGCACTAAGGCCGGCTAGACCGGAGTGATACCACGGCTCACAGAAAACTGACGTGAAGCAACGCTTGCGTTGTATTTCGTCGTGTGAGTGAAGTTACCGGAGGCCCAATTACCCTTCACTTCCCCAATCTCCCCAATTCCTGAATCCCCAACGATCCTCAAACTCCTAATCCCCAAAAGGCCGGTAACGCACTTGTAAATCCTCTGGTGTTCCAGTTGTCCATGGGCGACACCGATTGCTTACCATCAGGTGATCCGTCTTCTCGTTTACCGGCTTATGCCATAAAAAGAAAGTTAGGTAATGAGAAAATCATAGATACGGATTTTTTTATTTTGTCGTATAAGAAAACAATACTTAGATAAAACAAATCAAAGTTTAGGAGTGGGAGGTAGCTTCGTAATTTTTAGTATAAAACGTACACAAAAGTGACGTCACGCATTAATTCAAGTCAATATTGGACCAAAATTATTTGTTTGTTTTTAAAAAATCTTATTGTGTTCTAAATTGTTACTAAGGAATATTGTGAAGTAATCATGAAATGTCTCTGAGTACTTCAGTTTGTAACCTCCTTCCACCGTATTTGTTACATTTTATCAATCCTCTTGAAATTTTGCACATTTACTCATAGTTGGGAGTAAAGAGATGGGTACAAGTAATGTCGCGGGTAAAAACTAGTAGTATATAAATAAGCTTGTGAATTCTGAGGGTTGTTTATTTAATCTCCTGGGAGGGTAAATAATATGTTTGAGAATTTACGTGTTTCATGTATAGGGATTACAAAATTTTACTTCAAATTCGTTACTCTGCAAAAGTTTAATTTATTTGCTGTTACATTAATATCTGGTAATGAGATACGTATACACGACGGCGAGGTGTCAATTGGGTTGGGTTTGTCTTATTATGAGCCTTATTTTACGTAATTAAAATTTTGTGGCATTTTTTTCGTAGTCGTTTCGCAATCATCTATTTGATGACTGTTATTATAAGCTGTATTAGTCTCGTAATTATCTGCGTAAAGATCTGTCTTTACGCAAATAATTACAGCGGCCGAATACTGAACATAAAACCTTTGCATTGAATTCATAAAATATGAAAATATTAGAGACGCCTACTGCCGGAGATTGTACGCGGGGTTCGTGCGGTTCATGGCCCTCTACTATGATGATACTGATGCGGCGGCCAGCTCGGGCGCTGCTCACATCCCAGGGGGTCATGGCCATTCGGGTAATTCGTGGGTATAGTATGAACTCAGGCGAGACGGCAAACCTCCGGCTCTATTTCATGCCATGGAGCGGAGCGAGCCCGCGAACGGTCAGCAAGGGTAGCTTGCCGCCCGACCAGAACCAGACCCGGCGCGTACCAGACCCAGCGCGACCTAGTACGACGCGTCGCGTTCCGCGCGCGGCTCAAAGAGTCATCAGACCACCACAGGCGGTGCCCAGTAGACCTGATGCCCGATACGGAGCCGTAGAAGGCCTAAACGGGTTGCCGGGGCTCCGGCTCGAAGAGCAGGAGTAAGAACAGGGTGGTTTTTAGTCAGTAAGAGTCTGACACTCTCTCTCGCCTACCCCAAGGCGGGAGCAGTAATTGGATGATTTTCCCCCCTCAAAAAAAAAATAACGTGCCATGATTCTAGCTTAAAATCCTGTTGATTCGAACGACGGTATTAGAAGTAATTCTTTCGACCGTATTAGGAGTAATTTTGAAGCGGCAAATTACAAGTGCCTATATGAAAATCCACAAATCCGTTTAATTTATGTGTTAACTGCTACGAAAAATATCCTAATGAATTTTTAAATAAAAGCTACTGTAAGGTTTCAGGAATAAGTGCTGGAAATCGCAACAAAAACTCATTTTTTTCTCAAGTTAATTGCTGGGTTCAGAAACGCAATCACGGTGCAGCCACGTGGAACTTTCAACTTAACTGTTATAACTTGAACTTAGAGTTAGAGGTCAAATTGCAATATAATGTGGGCTAACATTTAATTGCAATGAATGTACATTTAAATGAGATTGTGTTCTAGGTTAATTTAGTTTCATGAAATTGTAGATATTAATATGTTATTATTAATAAATCGCGTTTGTGACGGCTACTTGATGGTTATAATCGAAGACTTCAGTTCCGATTTATAAAATGTAATAACAAGATCAGTGTTACCAAAATCTACGTATTTATCAAACGAAAAGATTTAGATTTTTTTTATAATCTAATCAAATAGGTACCTATTACTCGAATCAATCAGCTCAGATCATTACCCACAACTTATTTCATTCCAGGAATGGGTATGGACCCTGACCGGTCAAAATCGACAAAATCGTGAGAAGGTGGATCCAGGAGGCGAACTGCAGATCATGCTGCCGGCTCAACCCGACAAACCAACATCGGGAGAGGTGTGCTTGCTTGCCGAGAGCCCGTTCAGAATCCTAAGGGTAAGTACAATCTGTATCTTTAAATTGTTGAGAAATGTGCTTAAAACAGACCTTAGAAAATCGTGACTTTTCTATATCACATCCATGCATGCCATGCAATGTGGAGCAATGAGGGAGACGTGTTAGTGGTAGGAATAACTTTAATTCTTTTAATCTAGTCTGGATTGTTTACTGATGATTTTCATAACCCTCTCTGCATCTTCAATCATCGAGTCGATGGAGTCCCCAAATAGCTCCTTCATTTGATCTTTTGTGTCGTCATCAATTGAACAGTTGATGCTGGTTGACTGGGCGGCTAGGAACGCTTTCACTTGTTTAATATTGACAGTGGCACCTTCAATTTTCGCCCTGTACCGATCAAGAGTCATATTCCTGGGAGAGGCATGTTCTTCTATAGCATTGGCCGTCACAACGAGATCAGCATATTGAGCTGATTTAAAGCATTGAAGATTCGGCATAAACAGATGGACATATATGATTTCTTCCTTTGTATATCCATCAGCTACAATTAGGTTCTCGATTTCTTTTTTCTCAGCCATAAAACTTGATTTGTGATGCAAGAGGTTTTAAAAGAATTACACTACCTCCTGTAGCAATTACTTTTTGAATAATGAGTAGGTTGTCCTTTCTGAGAGAGTGGACAACCTACTCATTATGCAACATCTTTATGTGGTTTTTAATTGCTGCAGTTCGGATATCTACATAGTTGCTTCTTATAACTTTAAACACAGCTTTTCTTAGTGTTGGCCTTGTCATAGAATATCTTTTTGTGGAGTATTACTGGATCTAATGTGTTTTGTGTTCATAATTAATTTCTATAAAAAGAATTAACCGGAAGAAAAAAATGAAAAATGAAATTACGCCAAATTCACTGACATCAAAACGTCCTCACGCATTGCTTTTCAGTGGTAAATGCGCGCTTAAAAGAAATTTTATTAAATAAATAACTATGTTTTCGGCTTACTCACGTAATTATTTGACGAGGAACTCGACTAGTTTCAAGCCATGCTTGAGGCTCATATTCATGAGCAGCATTTCACGACCTGCGACGCGGCGACTGTCGCGCTGCTACTGCAGGGACTACTACAGGGTCTACTACTACAAGGATAGTCAAATAGGAGTCATACTTTTGCAGGGAAACTCTAGAATTGCAAATATTGGAATTATTCCAATAAAAATGTCATCGTTGTGTTATCAATTTACTGTGAACGTGTATTCATTATAAATGGAGTTCTACAAATATTGATGGCTGATTGCTTGAAATCAGTTTCTGACATGTAATCTTAATTTATACAAGGAACAGTGGGCAGCAAGTCAACGCAGTATTTTGTGTAAAATTTCTTTATTAGATTTTCAACACTCTTAGATATAAAGTTGAAAATCCAATGACTAAAATTGTCACATATTCGAGCAAGTTGGGGCTGGTCATTGTACATTATTTGTACCAACGGCACACTACTAAAACATCATTTAAGTATGTCAGTCTATCAATAAGGGTTTTGTCAATAGTAATTTAACTTAAAATAACTTTTTATGATTTAAACGCTGAGTTGCCATACCAAAAATAGTCATTATGGAACGTCGTATCTCCCCTAATGGTCTAAAGAGGACAGATACCAGTCGCTCCGTTTTTAATATTGTCATTTAGCAGAATTTGATTAGAAATCTGTGGCGACCTAGGGAAAACACTTAAAAAGTAGGTACTTTACTAGGTATCAACATTTTAGTAACTAGGTCTACTTTATCAATGCAAAACTCACTAAATGAACTCATATCAAAATGATAATTTAATCATTACAGAGTAGTCATTCTACAAAGTGTGTACTTTCTAGAAACAAAGCGTGGTCTATTTAATATTATTACGTTGATTAATTGGTCACACATTGCTTGCTGGTGATAAACAAAAGCCTAAGAAACTACAATGAAGTCCTTATAACCCAATTTTGGGGAGAAAATAATTAATAACTCTGTACTTCATTAATACCCATTATTGTATTTCATTAATTGTCCCTGTTTTGAAGTCTACAGTTATCTTTTCAAACGTAATCCCATTTAGAAAAACGATTAAATTTTGTCGACCACCTAAACTCTCTGTCTCTTTGATTAAAAAAACTCAATTTTATCAAGACATTGTTTCATGTTCACTAATATCTACGGCATTCAGGTCTCTTACGATGAATGATAATGTTTTTCTATAGAATAGCATTATAACTATAAGCACCCTAAGTAGTGACTAATGGACCGACACTCGTTTTAGATAACATTATCGATGTCATTCTAAATTATAATCCTCTTGTTCTAGATTATTCTATAATCGATAAATTCAATCTCGGTAATGAATATTTTGGGAACTGCGTATTAGAATACCACTACCGCAAGTCCAATGGCTACAAGTGCGACAATTGAACAAGGGATATCTGATATGATTTCAAGGTCGGACATTAGGATCTTTTCGGGTTTTCTTTTTAATGGCATGGAAGAACAGCCTCTTTAGAATGTCAGGAAATTCCTAACTGGCAGAACGAATGTTGCTGCCTACCTCTTCAGTAATTATTTATACTTAAGACGTGACGTTGTTTTTTGTGTATTAGAAAATTAATTTGGGGTTGTAAAATACATTGTTTTGTACGCTGCTTATTCTTGATGGGTGCGGTTTGATTGTTAAGCGAGGTGTGTACGGAACTAAACAAGCGAAGTTACTTTGTAATTAGGATAGCGATAGCGAGTCATTAGAGACGTGCGAACTATCATTTTTATCAGATCTCTCGCTCACACTTATGCGAGTTGTCCTTGTGCGGCATTGTCATATTCCTTTGACGTGGCGCTTTTGGTCTTTGCACGTTTGTAATAATCCAACTCTAGCTAGTTCTTTTGATATGCTATTATTTTTGTATTGAAAAATATTTAATATTTTTAACATTAACCGCCGTACTCAGTCATTTAATGGCTACTTAACCCAGTCTTTAGCAATTGTTTTCGGAACATAATCGTTAGTAAGGAATAGTTTAAGTTATCATTAAATGTCTCTGAGTATCGCAGTAAAATGAGTAAGATAAGAATTGTTCTTGAACAGAGTTTCATTTCTATACGTCTGCATCTAGCCAACACGTTAATAAAGACCATTTATGATTATAAACGTTCAAATCCCATTTTCTCCCACACAAGACAACTCAACGCAAATGATCTCAAGATTTCCAATTACTGAGCGATCCCAAACTGTCGGTATTTGTTCGCGGAATATAAATGCGTTATTACACATATCGAATATTATTTAACTTTCCGTTTGGGGTTCAGATAAAGACGTACCATCTATGGCATCGTAAAACCTTATAACAATCACCATGGGACGCTCCCCATGCAATCAATAGAACCCCTTGATGCAAGGACAAACTTTTATGGTACATTGAACAATTGTAATAAAAGTTCAAGAGTGTACGAAAAAAACATCTTCAATTCCTCGTTCACTCACCGCAAGATGTAAGGACTCTACGTGTTCAAGAATTTTTGGAAACTCGTTCAACTATTTGACCTATTTTCTTCAAATGTCCAAAACTCTTTGATAACTTTTGTATTACTTCCTTGTTGTTGTCGTTGAAGGTTAAGGTGTTAAGGGACCATTGGATTTTAGTATTTGGAAATTATGCTCGCTATCTATTGTTCAAGATCTAATAATTACGGATTATTAACACAATAGACATACAGTAACCATGCCTTACACTTCTGTATAAAATTGAACCTACCTTCCAATGAACAAAGCCTTATTTTATGATGAAATATTAGGTAACTTTAACTAAAGAAAGTACAAGCTATCCATTTTCCGATTAAAGTTTATACTGTACAAGTGTACCCTACTTATATGTTAGCAATAACATAAAAATTTATCATGTAATGTGGCCAATTGAGCCATATAAAGTCATAAGCCATGTCCACTAATAAGTAAAATGTGGCTTCCCCTGTTCGTTACTTAAGTTGTTATAAAGCCACGGACATTGTAAAAAAGCGTAGCGGGTTAGTTCATTATAAATTCTGTTACTCTTCAATTTATGTCAAATGACTGTTTTGTGTATATTTAAACACTAGTCTAAATAGTAAATAGAAAAGTAAACGTACGTAGTTGACACTGATGAAAGTTTCAAAGTCAAGAAGATTGAGTCAGAATGACATTATTACTCTTTGTTATGATTTCACTATCTCGAAACTTTAAACCGTAACACCATCTACCCTAGAACTAGATAATAATATGTTTTACGTCCACATGCCTTCCACAGTCAGTAACTTTCCGTAAATGTAAATAGATAACAAGCGGCATCGTATTTGGTGATGACGGAAATCTTCATAAGATGCTTAGCTTCCAAAAGGAAGTGAGGGGGATTTAGCTCACTGAAATCGCCCTGGTGGGCATCATCAGTTCCCATTGGGGCATTGGATCCTCTTATTAGACCAACTGGTCGGAAAATTCTGGGTCCAAAAACACCTACATAAGGATGATATGGAAAGTGCAATCAATGCACGTAAATTGCTAGCAGCTATATAGTTATGATTACTAAGATATTCCACGTCTACGGGAATGGAAATAAACCAGTAAGGGTTTTATAGGTTAGACAATTTTAGTTTAAGTGGATCGAGGTCTAGTGAGCAGACGTCATGCGTATCATGTAATGCTTTGGCTGACATTTTTCCGAATTCGGTCATGACGCATATCGAATTTCATTGATCAGTAAAGTGTTACACAGTATAAGATATATCGGTCACTCATAAAAATAAACTTCTTACAGATTATTTGGCTTCCTTGAACTCAAAATTATCTTTATTTTTAACGGATTCAGGTGAAAAATATTTAACTATTACACAAATAACATTAATAGCAAAATCGCTTGAAGTGCCTTAACAAAACCGCGTCCTCTCTCGAGTAGTTCCGCGGATAGATAATCGTTAAACTCTTTAACCTGTTAATGGGCTATCGTTGTATCTCAATAATGTGAGATAACATCAGTACTTGTAATCCTGATCGGCATAATGTACCCGTATGTGGCTGGACATGGCCGAATGGTGGTTAAGAGTGAAACATGTGGCTTTTCAAACGAGCAAACACGGTGCCTAACTTGCCCGTGACACCAACCAGGTTGTATGCGGTAAGTCGTATTTTTCTGCTACTTCTTGAAAATTGACACCGAAAGTGTTATCCACTCTTTGTTTTAACTTTGTCATTATGATGTCATATTTTAAGTTGGACTTTGGCTATGTATCAGTGAAAACTTAGTTGAATTCAATGCGTTTGTTTTTAATTTGTCACTAGTAGGTATACATAGATCAAGCGATTATGCTTATGATAAGCTTTACTTCTGTATAAATAAAGTTTGCGAACTTTCACCTGTTGTACCTCTAGATTCTACAGCAATCTGAAAGTAAAAGATTTACGTTCGAATACT